AAAAAAAAAAAAAAAGAATGTTTCAAAAATAACTACAGTATTTTAAATAAGGGATGAATGATGTGGTCATTCTACCTATGGTGTGGAAAATAGTTTGGAAAATTATAAGAATAGATATTTGGGATATATGGACATTTTATTGCATATGTTTTTGGAAATATTCTGATCTACCTGTAATTTTCTTACTATACCTTTCTATATGAGGTGAGTTAAGAGAAGACTTACTGGAAACTGGGAAAGTTACTGCATCACAATTCTTAGTTAAAGAAGAGAAGCATTCATAGGAAATTTGGGGCAAAGGCCAACACAAGAGTTGGATCTGGTATTTACGCTCCCAAGGAAAAACTAGAAGGTTTTCTCTTCTCCTAGGTTAAACAATGTTGTTTTAAAAATCTTCAATACAGTCCCCTTCCTCCTCTACATAGGAAACAGAGAAGCTGAGGATAACATATACATGACTTCTTACTTAGCTTCTTCTGTTCAAGGTGAAGCCAAAGGTCTATAAATGCATTCGTGCTTCCAATGCTACTAGACATGTATATCTGCATTTACAGAATAACACAATTTAACTGATCTTTTTACAAATCAGTATGATATTCAAGTTGTTTAATTGTAAAAATTCAGTGACATCTAAATAATTTTTTAAAAAGCATGCCAGAGAGCAATATTTTTAGAAAATTTACGCATTCATATAAGACTATTGCTATCTTTTCCTTAAATTTGAGGAGCACATATATATTTTGAATAGATGTGAGTGCCGTAATGAATGCAGTTGGAATGAAATATAGTAGCAAAACAAATCTAAAATTCTCCCTCAACGGGGAATTTATATATACACATACCTATATGTATATATAAATCTACATATATACATATATATATAATTAAGGAGCAATCAATTTACACTGTACAATAGCTGACACTCTCTAAATGTGCATGCATGACCATTTTTCTGTTCTATACCCATTGTATTTGTTCACATATAGTGATTTACACCTAGGTAGTTAAAACCTGTAGTGCTAGATTTTTCTGTTTTAATTAACAGCAAATGTTTATACTGCTGTACTAAAAATAACATCGAATCTGAATCACATTAATAAACCAACCAGTGAACACAAGTTATTTCATCTCAAAAAATACTAGTTTAGGGGCGCCTGCGTGGCTCAGTTTGTTAAGCGTCTGACTTCAGCTCAGGTCATGATCTCATGGTTGGTGTGTTCAAGCCCCACATGAGGCTCTGTGCAACGGTGTGGAGCCTGCTTTGGATTCTCTCTCCCTCTCTCTCTCTCTCTGCCCCTCCCCAACTCCTGCTCTCTCTCTCTCAAAAGAAATACATAAGCTTAAAAAAATACTAGTTTAGTTGAATGTATAATTTTGCTATGGAAAAAAAAAACTACAGACTTACAATGGTTCAAGTTTTCTTACTTCATGACTGTGCAACAGTAATATGCATCCAGTAACACAGGGAATGATCCTCTCTGTAGGCGCTGGGCAGTGGCAGAGACCCGCAGCTCCCACTGAGCCACACAATCAGAAGAGCAAACCACTGATTCAGTTCAACCATACTGCACCGATACATTCTGGCTTTCACTTTCCGTCTGATATTCAATCAATTGTATAGATACTCAACACTTTCTTATAAAACAGACTTGATGTTAGATGATTTTGCCCAACTGTGAGCTAATGTAGGTGTTCTGAGCACACTGAAGGTAGGCTAGGCTATGGTAGGTGGATTAGACGCATTTTGAACTATTAAATGCATATTTTCAACTTAAAATGGGTTCATCCGGATGTAACTCCATCATAAGTAGAGGAAGATCTATATAACTGTCAGGGTTGTTGAAAAAGTAGACAATTTATGGGGCATAGTGAGGCAACCTAAATACTGTCCGGCTACGTTGAAGCCAAAAGACCACATAGAAAACTCTTATAAGGCGGTTTAACTCTCTGTAAAAAGTCTTGTCTTGAATTATGTTTTCAGTTGTGATAAAATCAACTTGGAAAAAAGGAAAGTCAGATCCAGAGAATCTGCCCAGGCCAGCAGAGGTCATCAGTAGCTGCCTATCATCTGTTTCACATCCTTCAGGCTATCTTAAAATCTCCAAAAAGCACTGCTGGAAAATAGTCTCTCCCACACAAAAACAGAGGTAGTTTCATAAACCGCAAAGAGGGAAGCAGCAAAAAACCTTCTGTACACAGCTTCTCTACAAGTCAATGTGCCTGCTTTTATCCAATATCACACACACTGCGTGCCTGACACTCTCCGCTATAAACTGTATCTATTCTCCAACTCCAAAGACAGTGCAG